TATATAAAAAGAAGAGAGAGAGAGAGAGAGAGAGAGAGAGAGAGAGAGAGAAAGAGAGAGAGAGAGAAGAGAGAGAGACTCCCTGTAGCCACAGCTGGCCTGGAACTCACTATGTAGATCTGATTTCACAGAGATCTATCCACCTGTCTCTGCCTCCTGAGTGCTGGGATTAAAGGCATGTGGCACCACGCCTGGCTAAGAAACATATATGTCTATATATACATATATAAACATATATATGTTATTGCTAAGAAATATATATATTTGAGACAGGATCTCCCTGTAGCCCCAGGTGGTCTGGAACTCACTACATAGACCAGGCTCATCTTGAACTCACAGAGATCTGCCTGCCTCTGCCTCAGGAGCGCTGGGATTAAAGGTGTATGCCACCACGCCCGGCTGAGAAACAAAGTTTTTAAAGGCACAGAACTTTCTAGAATTTACATATTGTTTCCAATAGTTTCATGTTCAAAGTTGATCTAAGAAAGTAGTGTGTGTGTCCTGGTGGTTCCCTGCTTATTGATTGCTGAGAATCAATTATTTGTCTTTTCCATGATCAGGCAGTTGAATTTCAATTTTGATAAAACGTTCCTAATTTTTTTGGAGGGCATTTGATGAACCAGTAATTGTCCCAAGCATTTTTTATGCATGAATGCAATTCATTCTTGCAAAAGATTTATAAAATGTATACTGTTCTCATCCCATACTACAGAAGATGAATCAGTTAGAAGGAGGAGCTGTTTTGCTAGTAGATGTGGAGTTGAGAGTTCAATCCAATCTATTTATAAATGAAAGAATCAAGCCATCCACTTTACTATTTGTAGGAATTTAACATTTTAGAACATCCTTCATTATTTTTTCAACTGTATTAGTTTACTTCTGATTCCATAAAAGCTTACTATAAAATTGGTGGCTGAAATAGCTCACGTTTACAGTTCCAGAGGTGAGAGTCTGAAGTGATCGTCCTGAGCTAAAGTCAAGGTGTCTGCAGAGCTGGTTTCTCTGAAGACACAGGTTGCTGGGATCCGTTTCCCTGTCTGCACTGTGGTCAGGCACCTGCTTTCCTGTAACTATGGCTCCTCCATCCTCAGCACACGTCACTCACTCTGTGTCTGGCATCACAAGCCCCTCCCTCTGGTGCTCAGTCCCCTTCCTTCTTCTGAGGACCCCAGTGGCTGACCTGTATCATCTAGAGATGCTCTCATCTCAGGACCCTTCGTCATATCTGCAAGGTTTCCTTCACCATATATGATGGCACCAGCAGGTTCTGAGGGTGAGGATGTGTGTTTACCTGGGGGATAATATTCAGCCAATCATATAACCTATCTAGTGGAAATTCTAGAAGGTGAGTGAGAGCAATTGGAACTCTGTTGGGAGTCGGGAGCAGTTCTGGGGAGTGTCCTGTACTAGGGAACTCACTAAGGGCAGTGACTGTCTCTGAGAGAACTCAGCTCACATGAAGTATATTTGATCATCAGGAGAAGTGGCCCTTTGAGGGAGCTATTACAGGAGCCTTCTGTAAGGAACTCTGGACACAATGCACGGAGTCTGACATGAAGTTTGGCAAAAATAAGGGCGTGTGCTTCCCCTGCCT